ATGAGCCTTTGTTCAGTTTTTAATCTAAAGAGAAATCTGCTGTAGGAGGTTGCACAGGGTGATAGCAGCCCAATTTAAAAGTCTCAATTATTTATTTTTAAAATACTTGGCATCTGTCTGTGGAAAATGTACTTGCTTGATTTCCAGCCTCTTAGAATGGCTTTGAACTCACTCACATCTTCTGGGATCTATCAAACGCTCATTGTGGCTTTTCTCTCATAAGTGCTGAATGAGTTTGGCCATGATAGTCTGTATTGGATGTAAACTTTGTGTCTTTGTAGTGTGGTAATGAGAGCAAAGAGATGTCATGCATGGGAATGGTGATTTCTGTCTGGATGTGTGTCGTGCCAAGCAGAGGAGGAGCAACTGAGCAGAGAGATGGAGCCTTTTATTTGTGGGTGGGTGGCGGGGAAAAGCCATTCATTGGAAGCAAGCTCGGTTTTTGCAAGCCAGTGACATTTCATAATGAGGGTTTAGTCATTCAGAGGCAATTGTACTTAATAAAATCAGAACTGGTCTCTGGTGGGCAGTATTTCTCAGTAATACACACACATATATTGGACAGCCTGTCCTTACAACATCAGCGTGGTGGCAGCCCAGTTTGGCATTAACGTCTAAGCACAGAGCAGGGCTCGACAGTTTGCCAGGTCTGGGGAACACCAGATTTCTGTAGAGGTTGGAAAAACACAGTGGAAGAAAGATGTTTTTGCAGATTGCCCTGGGGAGGAGGGCATTGCCTGCCCCAGGTCATAGTGGAGGGTAGGAGTTTGGAGGCAAAGACTCTCCCGGCTGGAGAATTACCCACATGCTGGTTGTATGTGGTGTATTCACTTGTGTGTTGTCAGCTGGAAATAGGCTTGGAGTGCTTGGAAACTGAAATGGTTGGGCACTGGATTTTCCTGGACAGCAGACACTAGAAAACATGACATGTTTTCTTAGGGTGACTGGCAATTATCTCCTGGGTTATGGCTTTCTCTCTAATCCTCTGTTTTAAAGCACTTGTAACAGTCTGAAGATTTGGCCCTCAGTGAAATTCTTTTTCAGGCTTAATCTGGGCTGTACAGCAAATCTCTCTCAAGTTTGAAAACAATTCTTTTATAGTGTGAAGAGTGTCAAAGCATGAAGTTTTTCCATTAAAAGCAAACTCTTGCTCTCTCCCTGCCTTGGTAAAGCTCTGTAGCTGTAGTAGTTGATAGCGTTTTAGGATGGAGAGTCTTCCTGCAAGAAAAGTGCCTTTATGTCACTAGGGACGGTTTGTCTCAGCTTAGCTTTATCAAAATACTGAGAATTTCAAGTTGCTTGGACACTACATGGCTTTTATAATAGATCTTTACAAGGTACATGCTAGCACACTGCTGTGTTGCACATCCGAGATTAAGGAAGCCCGTGTAAGCCTTTCCCAGCCTTGTTGGTTATAATGGGGATAGATGTGAAAGTCTTATAAATCTCATATACTGTGCCACAGAGAACAGGATGCTCGTGCCCTCTGGGACCTGTGCCACAGGGAAGGCTGTTTGGAACACTGTCAGCATGGATGTGTGGAACAGAGTGTTCTGACTGCAGACAGGTAGTGTCACGTTACAGAAACTGTGAAGGGTATTTCAGGCTTTCCCATCACTGTGGGATTCTCACAGCCTCTGAACTTTGCAGGTTTTTTTTTTTTAATTTTGGGAAATAAAAGCCATTGTGAAATCATATGCAAAAATGTACAGAAATTGTGGTTTGTGGTGCTGAAATCAGGCAGGGCCATAATTCAGGCTGGATGATGCTCCCTTCTGCATTTTGCAAATAGCAAATTATAATAGGATCCAAATTTTCTTTAGCTTGAAAGCCTCTTTGTTGCATTCTGTGCTACTGCTTTGTACATCCCAGGCAGAGCCTGTAGAAGTCATTTATATGCAAAGTGCACCATATATTGTATATACTAATTATATAATAAGGAGTAATAATGAAAATTTTCTAGCATGTTTAGGCCACTTAAGTATGCGGTGAAATTAATTTTACAGTTAACTGTCTTATTCCCGCTTTGTGCATAAAGAATGTTATCCTACCCATAGAAAATATTAAATTAACTATCTACTGATAAATGTATTCAATATTATGTATATTATGTATAAAAGAACAAAAATACGTTTGATACATTTGCATTTTATTGTAAATTGGGGAAAACAGATGAGACTGTATTATGGAAGGGAACAATATGTGATCACATAATTAGAAAATTGTCATAATACTAATGCTCAGCAGTGTCCAGGTGTGGTTTTATGAGCAGCCTGAACCGTGAGGCTTTGAGAGCGTAACTTTACTGTCTTTTTTACATTTGCTTTGCAGTGTACGCGTGTGTAAATCACATAATAGCAATTCCTCAGAGACACTACTCCTAAAATGTTCCTTCTAGCTGTATGAACACATAAGGAAGCTACTGTATGACAGATGACTACAATTTTTCATACAAGACAGTTCCCCTTGACGTGATGGATGCAGAGAGAGGAACCACGCTCTCTGGAAAAACACCAGGGAGCAGTGGTAAAATGTTCCAATGTGTATGGTAATCAAGGCAAAGTGTGGTTCTTGATTAGTCTGTGAGATTGCACTGCTGAGACGAGGGATCTGAATAAAATGCCTTTTTTTACCAAAGCCCTTTGCACTGCTATCCTAAAGTGTATTGTAAAAATTAATTTCCTTAAAATGCCGTGAGCAAAATTGATCCAAAATGATTTTGGCATATGCTGAACTCACTCAGTGATACTTTTCTTCATAAACTCCTATGAGGACTATATAGTGAAGTGTTTTATGTAAGGTATACATAATTTTAGACTTTATTTTAAAGAGGCGTAAGATGTAATTTGTGTTTTCTAAGCTTTGGTGTGTGCTGGCTAAACTGAAGTTTAAGCAATTCTACCTGAAACAAGTTGCTTCTAATTTCTACATCAATGAATGGCTGTACCTTGGTCTTCATTTGTTCAAAGCATGAGTTGTCAGAATCTAGAGGTACCACCAACTTTGTGAGATATCAGCAGCATCTCTGTGTGTGCTGTGAGAACTCTGGGAATAGGAAGGCCAAAATAGGGGAAGAAAATGGCTTTCAAATTTTATGAAGTTAGTATGAGTGCCAATTTTTTTTTTCTTTTTTTTTTTTGTGGGCCATCCTCCTGCTGAAAAAAGTACCTCTACCTCTGAAGGCTCTGATCTTCATCTTGGCCTTTTCCCTGTATGATGATGTTTTATTATCTGTATAATACTGGCAAAGCACCTATCCATTACAGGCAATATGTCCTGTCAGAAGCCTGGGAATCAATCAGTAAATGGGAGTAGGAATGTATCTGAGCAAGATAAAAGGGTATACTCTCATCCGGCACATACAAAATATGGGAAAAATACTTGCATTTGTGGACACAGTAGGATTTGTCATGCAGCACTGTCTTGGAAAAACCCAAACAAGTCTTTGGGTCCAGCGGAGTATTTTCCTGCAGACAGACTTGCAGGAGGGAAGGATGGTCAGATGGCAGTGTGTTGGGATGCAGGGACAGTATCAGCTAGACCTTCTTCTCCCTTAAACTGTGGGTTGTGTGGGTGTCTCCTATCACCTAGCAATGCTGTGAAAAGGTTGGGTAATGGGGGATGGGCAGCAGAGAAGGAGTGAGTGTGCAGGGTTCAGGCAAGGGGCCAGTGGCAGAGAAGCCTGGTGGGTCCATTCCCATTTCATAGCCAGGAACAGATTTTTTTTTTTTTTTTTGCTGGCATCAGTGTGCACAAGAGAGCCTACACATCAGCCAGCCAGCCAGCCAGCACTGATTTGGATTGTGAAATCCATCCGGGACGTTCCCTGCATAGCCCCAGGAGCAACTGCTGCAAAGTCCAGTTCTTGTGCTTGGCTGTCACCATCAGCCACATGGTTTTCATTTGTATTGTGTGGGGCACACATATAATAAATGTTACCAGTACTGAATTTGTCCTATGACTGCACGCACCTGCATGGTATAATGTTGAGAAGGGAGCATTGCAGGTTTTGGATGTAAACCAGATCCTTTGGAGCAAATCATGGCTGATACAGATGGACTAACACCAGGGGTTTCTTTGGGAGTGGAGGGGTTGAACAGCTACTGGAGAAGCAGCAGTGTGTTTGGATGGCTGGCAGAAGTGGGAGCTCACCTACTGTGGGAAATGGAACAAGGACCATACAAGAAATTAAGAGCAGGAACACCCACGGGTCTCTATAGGTTACCCTTATTCATGGCAAGGGTGTGAGGTGGGGTGGGATTGTTCACCAGCGAGAGTGTATGGAGGAAGCTGTTTCTTGGTTCTCTATTTGTGTAACTCCACCATTTTCTAGTTTGGGTAATCATTGTTCTCACCCTCTTTTACTTGCAGTTTGTCTAATTATCAATATTTATTATTCATCTGAAAATGACATCAAAATATCTAATTTTGTCTCATACTTCTTGCAGAGTTCTAACGCTTTGGAAATAAAAGTCACGAAATTTAACTGAAGACAGGGAACATTCTGACCCTAACTGGTAGACCTGAATATCAGAGGCTCATAAAAATGCATTGCTACAGAGACAGACTTTTATCTTACAAATTGCTTTAGGAGTAAAGGAATAACTCTAAACGTTGAAATCCTTTTCAAAATTCTCTATGGTTTCTGAGATAAATATGTTTAGCACATTTAACAGAGCAGGAGATGAGCCTGCAATGAGCAAAGAAATGAAGAGATGCTGGCAGAAAGCACAAAGTTTACCAGCTAAACAGACTGACCATACTGTTTGTCCTTTGGTTTGGTATTAAAATGCATTGCACTGACTCTCTTGCCTGCTTACTGTCCCAGTAGGGCAGTCATGCTATTAATCAAGATGCTGGTTAAACAGTATTGTTCAGCAGAATTCCTTTATCTCAGGTTCATAACACTGGCTTTACATACAATCTGTGTGCATTACCTCATTTGAAAACTTTATGGATCAACACTAATGTGATTTTGTTGTTGGTTTTAATTTTTACAGATGCAGATTTACTTCTACAATCCCGATGACTTTGACAGTTTTGGAACAGCAGTTCTAGAAAACAGGGTAGTAGGAGCCATGGCCGTGTTTTTTCAAGTAAGTTTAAACAAAGGCTATATCCATAAACCGAAGTGTTCACCCAGTACTATTTAATTCATTGAATTGTTTCAAGCTTAATGGATGCATCTGTTTTCTTGTTCCCACCTGTCTAAGTGAAAGATATTTCATATTGTCTATGTGTGATTTAAAATGTAAATAAGTATATTTAAAAACATAATGAAAAATTTTGCATGAATTGTTCTGATTTTATAGCTGCTCTACAGATGCAGATTGGAGAACACATTTATCACTGAACTTCCTTCGCTGCTGAAGCACATTGCTGCAATTCCTGGAATACTAACAAACCAACACCAACTGGTTCTGTTTAGGGAAAACTTAAAATTCAAACATAGCTGGAGAGAAAATTAATCAATAAGTTTCATCAATCTTATCTGTAGCAGCTTCTTCTAAATTGTCATAGTAACAAGTTCTTGAGCAGACCAGGTTTCCAAATAAGTGAATTTATGCATCCGCTTTTTTAAAATGCATCCTGAGAGTGGGGCTACTGGGGGAGCTCATTTATGGTTCAAAATGCTCCAGAACTGTGGTGTGGGGCAGGGGCTGCTGCTTGCCGTGGCTGGCGTGTGAGCCACGTGACAGTGCTGTTCAGCAGGGTGAGCTTTGTGTCACGTTGCATCAGAAACAGGATTTTACCTTTCTGACTCCGAGGTGAGTTGAATGGAGGGAGTTGGAGCCGCTCCATACCACCAGGCTGTCACAGGCAGAGAAGTGGCTAATGAAGATTTGAAATGTCTTAAGGTCTTGCTTTTCAAAAGAGAGAAAAGGAGGGAGGGAAGAGCAAGAGAAAATGCTGATCCTCTGTGAGGTTTCACACTAGTTTTTACTAAGGAAGAAAGTGATCTTGCTGGTACCTTTGTGAAGCCAGATAAAAAGGAATATGCAAGTACCCATATGTAAATACCTCCCTTTTTCTTATGATGTTAGAGTGACAAGCCTGACTCTGCTGCTCAAATTAAGTAAGGTTGTCTTTTTCCATGTCACTGATTTTGATCAAATGCTTTGATAAGGAGAAAAGGACAGATCCTTGTATTGCGTAAATTGCTGTAACTCTGCTGACATCAGGCTAGTGGAAGGAGGCATGTTAAATTCATCACTGTTGGATTCTGAGTGCTCCTGTGGCATTTCATGTTAGGACAAAGGTGGAGCTGTGATAATTTGCAGTGGCATAGCATGATGATTCCCCAGATTTCTTAATCTCGATGTGATAAGGGAAGCTTTAGGCAAATTGAATTTGGCCATACGAGACTGAAGTTTAGGAACAGAACAGCCAAAGGCTGGTTTGTACCACAATGAAGAGCTGTGGGTTCTGTGTGTGTGCTGTGTCAGGAGCCTGCGTTGTGCCATGGTGTGCAACACGTGTTGGGGCATCATCTGTCTGGAATTTAATTGCTAAATTACCCTGACATGCTTCACATCAGCCGTGTGAAGCACTGCTCCGTGTCCCACCGTTTCCTAATCTGTATGTGACATTTATTCCCTAAATCCTGTTTTTAGAGGATCTTAAAATTGTGGTGGGACTGTGTTTTGTATTCCCCACCTGCAAAGCCAGGTGCTGCACTTACTGCAAGCCCCACTTTGCACAATTCCAAGGGAGTCATTAAACTCACTAAAAATAACATAAAATAATCTGTAATGCTGTTAAAAAAACCCATCTTTGATTGTAAGAGACCTCAGGCTCTTCAGGACCACAATTGAGTGTTGCAGTCCCTTCAGGGAAGCAGAAATCTATACTTTTCATCATTTCCAGCCCTGCAGGCTGCAGGACATGAGGCTGTAAAGTGCGGATGATGGTGCAGCTGAGCTCCTCTGCTCCAGGAGCCATGAAATCTGAAACCATTACTGATAAACAGTCTCTGATCTTTTCCAGAGAGTGGGAATAAGGTAATTCTTTGGCAAAATGACCCAGGGACAACCTGTTTTGCGGCAGAAAGAAAATGAGTTTCTTTTTTTGTGTGGTTTTTTTTTTTTTTTTTTTACTTTGCCTTTGGGTTGAAATGAGAAATCAACGCTGTGCTGTTAAACTTGTGAGTGTATCAGGTTTTCCTTCTGGGTAGCTTTGCTCCAAGACAGAGAACAGTCAAGGAGGATTTGTAGAGCCCAGAGTTCCCAGTGTGGAAGGGCATGTGCTGAATTCTGGCCTGTGTAAGTAAACTCTAAGGACATCAACATGACAACTCATGTTTTGGCCGTCATGAGGGTTTTCCAGAGTTTTCCTATATAGCTTGAGTTGTTGTACGTAGGGTTATTAATGGGTGATGATAATCCTTTGCAGATCTGTACTTTGTTTGACTAAGGTGCTGTTTTAGCTCCCTCAGCTGTGTATTGTATGCTGGAGCTGGTGATCCACGACTTAGAAAAACCTTTTTATTCAGAAATACTTGGTGTTCCCTGAGCCTTGCTCCCCAGGGCTCCATGTGGCTAAGCATACCATGGCTAGTATTTCATGTAGCTAATTTAAAGCTGTCTTTTAAAACTGATTCTTAGTGACTTTTGAATGAAATATCCCTAAGATGTCCATGGTCACATTTTGATTGGCAGTTTAGATTACTCAAGTACTAATTTTATAGCTTTCAATTTTCCAGAGCTGTAGTCCCATCTCAAACTCATTTACCTAGAATTTAGCTGTAGAAAAAATGTAGCAAGAGAGGTCATACTGTTTTTTACAAATGCATTAAAAAACTGAGTCATGCGTGCTTTCCTGTGTAAATATTTTAACATCAATTATTGGATAGATTTGCCACTAAGGCAAGACTTGGATTTTTGCTAATACAGTAATGCTGTGTTGGAATGAATGTGTACTGCACTGAGTTTATAATCTGGCAGGTGTTTTTTATTTGACTGATGTTCACAAATGTTCCTTTGAAAATCAGGTTCTCTGGTGAGCGAACATTATACTGAACTATATAATTATTGGTGAAACATTAAATAATTAAGAACCCTCTTTCTTCCTTTTTAAATAATTTAGCTTGGACTATATAAGAATTTTCCTTATTGAATTCATTATTCCAGGGGCAATTTCCAGGTAAAGTACATTGGTTCTGAACTGGTATAACTGAAGCACTTGAAACTTTGTTGTAAATGCAAACTAAATCTGTGCTTTTCTCATTGCTTTCATTGTAAGCTCTGTTGATAAATTCTGTTTCTGTTTGTGTGCTGCAGGTCAGTTGACCTGATTTTAAAAAAATTACTAGTTGAACTTAGGAAACAATTCTTGCAAATACAAATTGCTATAACTGCTCATCCCTATCTCATTGTAGATAGACACTGAGAGGGTCTCACACAAAATAGCACTGTGGGGACTCTAGCAGGTGTTCTCAGTTTGCAAATGAGATGAACTGGCCTGAAATCTCTAACTGGGCTCTGAAACCTGGTTTTTCTTTGTTGTTAAAGAGAACCCACTTGTTATTTTAACAAAAATCAAAGTCCTCTGGAGACAAATGAGAGAATGTCTGTGACTTCTCTTTGCCTTCTGACAAGTTTTTCAGGAGAACACATTATGGCCATTCCTTTCAGTATTGGGGTTATGTGGTGTTTCTCAAAGTGGAGCTCGTGCTTGTGGGAGATGTTTAACTAGACATGCCCATGAACCCCTGCCAACAGCATCCTCTTGGTTTGCAGTAAAGGCCTCTGGATCTGCAGAAATGGTACCACCACAGTGACAGAGCTGGCTGAGGGGCTCCTTGCTTTGTGGGCATCTTGAATTTGCCGGTGGCTGCACACTGGGACCCTCCATCTGCTGGAATACACACAGCAGGTCCCAGCCCAGCCGGGCACCTCAGGCGTGATTTAAATGATCCTGACTTGAATCGTTGGTGCACATGCTCAGTTTCAGCCCACATAACATTCAGCTTGTGGTTAATGATGTTCTGGCTCCGGGCCTTGGTTAATTGTCAGGCTGAGCTGGTTTTGAAGTGAGCCGGGAGTGGAAGGCAAGGCCCAGATCTCTCATGGTTCCTGAGTCATCCATCCATCTATATACATGTAATACATATTTATAAGTCACATTTAAAATGAGTAGTTACTTGGATTAAATGCATTCAGACATATTGCATGGCTCTGTTTTAACCATCTAACAATATAATTCATTGCACACTTCACTACTTGCTTTATTAAAGCCAAACTTAAATGTGTTCAAAACAAACATATTGCTTTTGCGTTTGAAATATTCGTCTTTTAGTCCTGCAGTAGATTCATTATGACAGAGAATACTTCATTCCTTGATTACTGCTGTGAAAAGACACAATACTGATTCCCTAAGCACTCATCAAATATTCAATAGCTCAGAAATTCAGGAGGAGGTGATGGAATTCTTTTTCCTACAGGGAGGGCATATAAATCTATTTTATATTTGCAAAGAAAACCATCAGTGATTAGTTACTGTGTCTCAGGTACTCAAACAAATCATCTCTAAAGAAGTTAAAGTAAAAATGAATTTTAAAATAACTTTTAGCAATGCTTTCATCATTAAAATTAGCTCCATAATGATGAGTGATGTTGATATCTCGATCACTCAAGAGCTTTAGCAGTGCAGAGCTAGATTTTTAAAGGTAATTAGGTACTTGGCAGCAAATGTGCAACTAGCAGTATTTTCAAAAGTACATGGGATAAAAATCAAGGGGTTTACAGGCCTTTTGCTGGGTTGCCATTCATAATTTTCTTATCCAATGCTGACACTTTTTTAAAGTTGTGGAAAAAATACTTTGTAGCCCTTTTAACTTTTAGATCTATGTGTGCGTTATCTGTATGTAAATATCTTTATATTTAGTTCTAACTCATGTATGCAGAGATTGTTCTCCAGTAAAATGAGTAATTGTGGCCTTGCTTTTTGTGAGATTTTTTGATAGTAGCTCTTGGTGTACTTCTTCAAGAAGATCAATAACTTTTCACAGGGACCTAAATGAGCTGATCACAGAATAAATTGGTGGAACGCCATCAAAGCTATTGAATATTTGGCACAAATATGCTTTTTTTAATGT